CTGGTCTTGAACTCCTGGGCTCGAATAATGTCCCATCTGAGCCTCCAGAGTGGCTGGAACTTTCTGGCATGCTACCAAGCCTTGATCAAAGCATGCATTTAAAACTCAGAAGTTTAATGCAAAGCAAAGACTTTGAGAGAAACTCTGTAAATACAGAAGGTTGTAGAAACTGCTGGTGAGAATGATGAATAACAGCAAAACTCTAGCGTTCTTCTTGATAATAATGCTTTCACATTAAATCAGTTATGAGAAGGACATGATACAAGTGACACAGCGAGCTTTCTTAGCTTCTCTTTTCCTGTAAAAAGTCGATCATTTCCCAGGTCTCATTATACTGCATTTGCTGAAGAACCCATAAGTGGAGATTCTCTCCCTCAAGCAGCCTCTCCGTTACTTCCCTCATAGTGCCAACTTTCCTCGCTACTCTTGACTGAGAAGTACCGCTGGAGAAGGAGGCCTTCCCTCGTGTGAGGCTCTGGAAGATGTGCTGGTGGGGGTCAGGGGGCCCCATGTTCTCATCTTCAGAGCTCAACATGCAGGGCAGGAGGAATACGTGAGGGCAGGAGAGATACAGGCAGAAAAGATTTTGCCGGAAGGCGGCATGGGAACCATGGCAGAACGTTACAGTGGCATAAAATAATAACTATTCAGGTGACATGTTATAGTTTACGTATTATTCTTTATTCCCAGTAAAGGGGATAGGACCCAGGGGTTCCACTGAGCTGCATCCTCAGGCCTCCCCCCATTTTAAATTTTGAGCCAGGGTCTCAGAAATTACCAGGCTAGGCTGGAAATCATCTTCCTCCTGGCTCAGCCTCCCGAGTCCCTGGGATTACAGACATACACCACTGTGTCTGGCTTATGTGTTATTTTATTCATTTGATTCTCTGCAAATGGGGGAAAGAGGGCTTACTTGTGTATATTTATTTATGCATGCAGTGCTGGGGATCAGACTCTGGGTCTCATGCGTACTGGGCAAGTTCTCCACTCCTGAGCTACATTCTCAGCCTCAGGGATTACTTCTTAAAGGACAGAATGAAGGGGCAAGGGAGTTTGGTAAGTACTGATGAAATGCCTGGAAATCTTCTGAGGAGATGAAACTTGACCTTGACCTCAAAGTTTGTGTCGTAATTATTCTTAGCTTTACCGAATGTATACTAGATGCCAGGTACTGTTAGACCACTTTGTTTGTCAGAACTCATTTCATCCTCACAATGTATGTGGTAAGTACATTTTACAGAAGCAGGAATTGAGGCACAGCAAGATTAACCTGCTCAGAGCCACACAGCTGTGTACTAACCTAGAGGGCTGTGTAACCTGGCTCCAGAGCACCCACTACTGACCATCACGTGGCTTGTGGGCCTTGCAGGTGGCTGGCGGTGGAGGTGGAGTAGGGGGTCCTGGGTAAAGGAAAGAATAGCTGCTGAGGTGAACGCCTGAAGGCAAGAGTGTGCTTGGTGTGTGAGGGCGGCGGTGAATTGGGAGAAGGTCGGCTATGAAGCAGGTGAGGATGAAAATGGGCAGAAAGCAGGTGAAAGCCTCTCCCCAGGTTGGTTACATCCCCCGGTTACATTTACACTGTAAATATTATGCAGCAAGTAACCGAGATGTTTAGGTGACGTCATGAAGGGCAGTTTCGTCATGATGTGTAATGTATGAAAATGATAGCGCCACTGTGCAGGTGGCACTCCTTTGGGCTGCTGTCCTTACTGCTGGGGCAGCTCTGTGGGCCGGGGGCTCCTTAATCCCACTTCATGGAGGAGCAGCTTGGGGCTCAGGAAGGGCAAATAGGGTCCTCTCGCTCCTTGTATCCATGTGGCTTTCCTGGCTCCTAGCCACCTCACTCTGATACCTGTTTAGTGCCAAAGAGACTTGAGGAGATGTGTAAAGTGTGCTGTCATTTCTCTAAAAAGGAAAAAGAAAAAATTCCTTAATGAACCACAACCAGTTGTTAACTTTCAGGAGTAAAACAGATAAAGCAGGGGTAAGACTCCGTTCCCTTTTGGACTATGGATGATGTATTATTCCCATCCTTTGTAGTAAATTGATACACATATATATGAAATTAATTAAAGCATTAATTTTAGCTTGAATTAATTTGTTAAAGGAGAGGAAACAGCTAAATTTAGAAACTTAGACTATTTTAATATATTCTTCTATATATATCATTATTTAATGTTTCGTATATTTTAAGATCTGTTGAAGATTTTTGAATGTGTGGCAGCTCTGGAGAATAATTATGGAAAAAGAATATACAAGGTGTGATCAAACAACAAGGTGAATGTTTGAATTTAAAAAAAACTTAACCGTTACAGTAAAAGACACATTACCAGTAATTCCCTTTAATATGCTCCCCCTTGCTTCCAGCTGAGATCTCCGTTATCCTGGCCACTTTCTAAAGCACTTCTGAAAGTCCTCTTTTGTGAGCGTCTTTACTTGCACTCTTGTAGCTCCCTTGATGTTCTGAATCCATTCAAAATATTTACCTTTCATGGTCGTTTTGACTTTGGGGAAGAGCCAGAAGTTGCAGGGTGTCAGATCCAGTGCATAAGGTGGACAAGAATACACTGTAATATTTTCTAGCCTGCCTTTCTGTTGGATGGCATTTGGCAGCAGCATTCACTGTATGTTAAATTACAACTTTTTAAAAATTTTTATGTTTATTAGTACATGTTTACAGCACATAATGATTGCATTCATCATGAGGAGTTGGTACATGTACATAACAACACACCTTGATTTTTTTTTTTAACATTTAATCACACCTTGTAAAGACACTGATGGAAGCAGACTCAAGAACTTGCTCAGAAAGTGGGATGATGGTATAAGTGTGTTTGAAGTGAAGGGAGTTATTTTGAGGGGGATTAATGGCAATGTGTATTTTACTGTAATGTTCTTTTTAAAATGTAAATATTTGTTTGTTTGGTTTTTTTGGTAGTGGGGATCGAACTCAGGTCCTTGCACTTGTAAAGCAGGCAGAGGAACCACTGAGCTAAATCCCCGGCCCTTAAAAATGTAAACATTTACTGTATATTTTTACCACTCCTTGTAGGTCAAGTTTTGTTTACTCTTCTTTGGTTGTTTTTATTTGTTCTATTTCTTCCCTCTCATCATTGTTGACGTCCCATGGGGAGCCCTGGGAATGTGGCTGCCGAGTTAGCAGGGCTTCCTTTATTTGCTTCCAAGGCTTATGGTTAACTACCATGATACGTCACTCACCTATGACATTTCTCGTTTGCTTCCCTCCTCCACCTGTCACTATCGGCACCAGAAGAACAAAGTTTTCTTCCTTCTGTTTTGTCCACTGTTAGAGCCCAAGCAGTAGGACAGTTTCTGGAATAATGCAGATGTTTAATTTAATATCTTTGTTGAATGAATTATAATTTTAATATAGACTTTAAAAAATCCATAGCTGCTTTTTCACATCTTTTTTATTAGTGCTCATTAGTTACACAGATTAAGGGATTTCATTTTGGCAAATTTGTACTTGCATATAACTTACTGTCTTAGTTACTTTCTCAGTGTTGGGATAAAATGCCTGACAATCCCAAGTTAAAGGTGAAAAGGTTTACTTTACCTCACAGTTTGTAGAGGTTTCAGTCCATAGTTGGTGGGCTCCAAAGCAGAGCAGCTAGGCAGAGAAGAACAGTCAATGGCATAACAGGCAAGAAGCAGCTAGCAATAAGCTTTCCTTTCCCTTTTTACTCCATTCAAGCTACAAGCCTGTTGGTTGGTGCCATCCACGCCCAGGGTGGGCCTCCCCATGATCCACAGTCAGAACCATGATGAACCAATCGGTGGACGAATCCAGTTATCACGCCCATAATCCAGTATCACACACATGATCCAGCCACCTCTGAAAAGCTCCACCTATGAGCACATGGGGCTTTGGGGACATCTAGATATAACCCATGGCACATACTTTGGTCATTTTTGAACACAGCTTTAGGCTCACAGTAAAATTAAGTAGAAGACACAGAGATTGCCTCTGTCCCTACCTATGCAAGCTTCCCCCACCATCAACATTTCTCCCCAGAGTGGTACATTTGCTACATAGGCTACCTGGATAAGTCATTATCACCCGAAGTCCGTAGTTTACTTTAGGGTTCACTCAGCATTGTACAATCTATAGATTTTGACAGATGAACAAATGCCATGTGCCCGATGTACCTACCATATAGTTCCATGTACAATACATACATTTACTTAAACATCTTCTCTGCTCTACTTACTCATTCCATCCCTCTTCCATCACCTCTTGTAACCGTGGATATTTTGTCTGTAGTTTTGCATCACACAGAATGCCACAGGGTGCTTCTTTTATTTAGGAAAAGGCATCTAATGTTCTTTTGTGTTTCAATGTTTTGGTAATAGGGATTGAACTCGGAACTTTGCACTTATGAGGCAGGCAGCAGCATCACTGAGCTAAATCCCTGACTCTTTCCGGTCTTTTAGTGGCTGGGGAGCTCATTTCTTTTTTTTTTTTTTTTTTTTTTTTTTGGTACTGGGGATTGAACTCGGGTCCTTGCGCTTGCAAGGCAGGCCACTGAACCGCTGAGCTAAAACCCCAGCACTCATTTCTTTATAATGGTGAATAATAGCCCACATCTATATCATTTTACTTCTCCAGGGAGTTATATTTTTAGACCACAAGGTCTGATAAATGGAACTCGACTTCTAAATTAATAACAGAGTTGCTCCAAGTATACTTTGGGTACTGGAGAATAAAGACTGGGAAAGTGGCCCCTGGATGGAAGTTGTATCCATTTGCCCATTTACCTAGTGTGCCCAGGTGCCTGTCTGGGGCAGCCAGGTGCTGGTTACTGGCAGCTATGGGAGACAGGAGCCTGACCCTATCTTCTCCATACTTGCCCTCAGGTGGGGTACAAGGGGTACAGCTACAGCCCACCTGGCGGGTATTGCAGGAATCCAGGTAGGGCTCAGGACACCCGGCTGACCCCAGGCAAGATGGAAGCTTACTTGTGGTTCTCTCTGCACAGATTGAAGAAGGGGGCAAAGCTGACTTGGTGAGCTCCAAACTGCAAGCTGGGGACGAGGTCGTGCACATCAATGAGGTGGCTCTGAGCAGCTCCCGGAGGGAGGCTGTCTCCCTGGTAAAAGGATCGTACAAGACGCTCAGGCTGGTAGTGCGCAGGTAGGTGTCCCGCCTCCATATTCCTTCTCCTATCACCTCACCTGCCTTCCTACCCTGTCTGACCTGGGGAAAGAGGGCAGGGTTGGTAGCTTGACTTCAGGCATGCATGTGGGGGGGTGTCCTGTGTCTTTTTTTCTTTCTCTTCTTTGTGCCCACTTGTTGCATGTGAGGAAGAAATGGGGTAAAGACATGGCAGACACCGTATCCCCATCTTTGGAAGCACTCCTTTTCCTAGAAGGCATTGGCTTGTCACACAGTGGCCTCAAATTACCTCCCAAACTTCTGGGTGATGGAAAGTGACACTCATCCCAAATGTGGTTATCTCTAGTCCTGGGACTAGAGAAGCAACTGGTATAGAGATTTAGGTCTTACTCTGTTAGCCACAGCTACACCACAGAGTTCATCAAAACAGGCGGATTCCTCTCTGTCTCCTCGTTTCAATAGTGGCTAGTCTTCTGTTGGCCAAGGCTCGGTTATGATGGGTTTTAACGCCTTAAAGTCACAAGCCTTGCACTCCTATGAACCTGTCCTTGGTGGAAGAGATTCTGTATGGAGAAGGGAATCAAATCAATCTTTTTTTTTTTTTACATTTTTATTATTGCAAAGCAAGCACTGTCTAAAGACTTTCACATATGTTAACTCATGTGATTTACTTGAGAACCCCTGGAGATAGATGTCACTAGCTCTACTGTCCCCAAGAGATCAAGTAAGTTGTTGCAGGGAGCAGAGCTGTTAAGTGGAAAAGCAGAACAGCCCAGATGACCTAGTCCTGCGCCATTGTGCCCCTGAGTGTCACTGACTTGACCTACTAAGCCCCAGGTCCACACATCTTGGCAATTTCTGCATCAATCAGGTTTCATCTGCTTCATATGGCAACTGATGTTATGGCATTTGGGGATGTTGTGGTTGACTGGAGCCTTATGAGCTACTGATTTGTCCCCAATTTGGCCCCATTTTCTTTTTTTTTTTTTTTCATTAAGTTTATTGATACGTTTTAGGTGTACAATATGATGACATTTATCATTGGCAATTTGTGCCTTTACAATGTAATCTTGGTTCTTGTTTTTTTCCCCATTCCCCTGCCCTCCTTCCAACCCTTCCCTATTTACGAAGACTTTGTTTCTGTTTTTTCCTTTTCTCATATTTTTTTCCTTTCCTTTCCTTTCTTTCCCCTACTCCTCCCATTTACTCCTCCCCTTTTGACCTTTTCTTCCTGTTTCACATTTATCTATTATACATTTTGATTCTTATTTACATTTTCAGTTTCTCACAGCAGAGAAACTATGCAGTATTTATAATTGTGTCCTATTTATTTCACTCAAGAATATGGCCTTGGGCTGGGGATTTAGCTCAGTGGTGCCACCGCCTGCCTCACAAGCACAAGATCCTGCGTTCAATCCCCAGAACCAAAAAATAAAAGAAAAGAATATGGCCTCAATATGCATCCATTTAGACATAAATGACTTTAGTTTCTCATTCTTTATTGCTGAGTAGTACTCCATTTTATAAAAAAGACCCGCATCTTCTTTATTATCCAGTCTCTAGTTGATGGGCAATTGGGCTACTTCCGAGTTTTAGCTATTACAAACTGTGCCGCTATAAACATGGGTGCACATATATCACTGTGGTATGATTCTTTTAATTCTTTTGGAAAGATACCCAGCAGAGGAATAGCTGGGTCAAATGGGACCTTTAGTCCTAGTTTGTTGAGGTATCTCCATATTGATTTCTACAGTGGTTACAGCAGTCTACACTCCCACCAACAATGAAGAAGGGTTCTTTTCTCCCCACATCCCCACCAGCATTTGTTATTGGTTGATTTCTTGATAGCAGCCATTCTTTGTGGAGTGAGGTGGAATCTCAGTGTTGTTTTCATCTGCATCTCTCGAATGACCAGTGATGTGGAACATTTTTCATATGTTTATTTGCTGCTGTTCCGTCTTTGTCTGAGAAATGTGTGTTCATTTCAGATGGATTGGGCCCCATTTTCAAGCTGTGCAAACCAAGGGGGTCCCCCCTCACCCTGCAGATGGCTGCTTGTGGCACTCTTCACTGCTGTGTTCATTATGAGCCCTGATTCAGGGAACAGCAGCTCCTCCTAACCAATTTGTCAAAGCCAAGGGTGTGATCTACTACATCCCCAGGCTGTGGCGATTCTCTCCTCAGTGTGCTTGGCTGTGTCTCATCCTGCTTCTCAGGTTATCAGTGGGGTAGAGGCTCCATGCAAGGAGTCAGACCAGCCCTGGGTCTGCATCTCAGGGCTGCAGTCTCCCAGCTGTGGGTCTTGGGACAATTTCTTAACCTCACTGAATATTCAGTTTCTTCATCTTTAAGTGAGGATTAAAATACTTTATGCCAAGATAAGAAAACAACCTAAGTACCCATCAAATAATGAGTAGGTAGAGAAAACATGTATGGTAAATATGTGTACATAATATAGAGTATTATGTATTGTACAACTATATACAACAGATAGTATTGATGTATATATATATATATATCATTATTTAACATGCATATCTATACACACACTGACATACTATGTATACTAATGTGTATAATATGTAGCATATAATATATTGAATATATGTGTTATATACTAGTACTATGTTATATATACATTGCATATACTCACATACCAGAATACTGTTAGCCATGAAAGGGAAGGAGATTATACCATCTGCCAATGTGGATGAAATAGAAGAACATTAAATTAGACAAGTCCTCTTATTGCACTCATATTTGGGAGTGGAATGCATGGTTGCCAAGGGGTAGGCATGGGAGAAACGGAGACAAGCTGGTCAAAGGATAGTTGTGAGTAAGTTCTGGGGGTCAAATGCACAGCCTAGTGACTGGAGTTGATAATACTGTTAATAATACAGTGTTATAAACTCGGAACCTTCTTTGAGAGTAGATCTTAGGTATCTACAAATATACATAGACAAGTATAACTGTGTGGTGATTAATTTGATTATGGCAATCATTACATGACGCATACATATATCAAGTCCTGACATTATCCATTCTGAATATATACAATTTACGGGGAGGAGTTGTAAGCATCAAGCCCAGGGCCTGGCTTACACTAAACACACCTTTTACCTCCAAGCTCAGAGACAGACTCACTGGCTCTGGACAATGGTTATTTGTCACTTATACTTCAATAAGGGTTGGGGAAAGGGCCAGGGATTTAGCTCAGTGGCACTGCACCTGCCTGGCAAGCAGAAAGTCCTGAGTTTGGTCCCTGGTACTGGAAAAACAAAAACAAAAGGTTGGGGTATAGTCCAACCTCCCTACAAGAAGATTGGGCAGATTAAATGGAATTCTCTATACCAGGCACATTCAACCTTCAGTCTATGGCCACACATACAATGTGGGCCCACCAAATGGTGTACTTTTAACATTACAATGTCATTTTTAGTAAAGTTTTCATGACTCAGTTGCACAGTGCTTGCACAAAGACTGTGCAAGTGACAACAGAACTCCTTACCGGGACCAGAGAGAGGCACAAGGCTAACTCTGCCTCCTGCACCCCCATGTGCAGGCTGTGCAATTGAAACACATGTGTATCAGATGTTTCATGTACGTGTGCAACTTGGCGAGCAAGTGCAGTTAACCCCGGTGCTAGTACTTCAACCCACCTATGCATGTGTGTGCCTGAAAAGACAAGGGTGATTGTTATTAAGCAGATAAGCATGTAAGTAATCATTGAACTTGGGCTTGTTTGTGATTTTATAAAATATTTTACCAAGTTGAAATACACTTTAAAAAGGAAGTTTGGTTCCCTATATATATTAACTATATTATATACATTATATATGGCCCAAAGCAGTTAGTTCCTCTTCACACAGTGAAGCCCAGGCAAGCCAAAAGGTTGGGCACCCACACTCTCCATAGTAGCAAGAAATCTTCTGCCATTATTTATATTGGTATTGGATGGATGTATATACATAGGCCCATTCCTCTAGGACAGGATTTGAGTAAAGCAAGCACTCATTTCAAATATGGGGGCCGTCTTTTCAAAGAGATAGGTAGAGAGGCTCAGAACTCTGAGGCCTGTTCCTTGAGTCCAGAAGAGTGTTGAAGGTTTGAACCCACCTTAGCGTTGGAACCCATACCCAGTTTGAGAGCACTGGCATTTATCTGTTGAAGGCAGCTGGTGGAATTCACATTCCTGGTGTGTCCTGGCGGCTCTTGCTGATGGATCAACTCTGGAAAGGTCCCCTGTCTGCTGCTCTAAAGAGTAGTTGTGCTGCTATCTAGATGGGCTGTAGCTGGTGAATGCATGAGATTTGAATTACTGCTAGCAGGCCTCTTGGAAATACGGTCCTGTAGTTGAAATCTTGTTTTGTCATTTGCAAATTATGTGAACTTGGACCTCACTAAACTTCGATTTCTTTGTTTATTAAAATAGAAATAATAATCCTGCCTCAAAAGGGCATTATAAGGATTTTATGAGTAAAATTTAAGTGCATAGATGGATGTGCAGTGGTATTTCATTATATCTAGACTGGTTTAGAAGAGACTTGTGGTGATATGTTGGATTATTGCCATGTTACCTAGTTGTCCAAAGCCCACTTTATTCTTGTGGCGAATTCACCACTGTTTAAGGGTTCCCTAGTTTAGAGGTCACGACTGTCCCAGAACTCAGAGTTTAGGAGCATCAGGTCACATAAAAACTCACAGGGAACTGAAGGCTATACTCCAGAGTGCCATTGCATTAACTCCTTCTGAAAAGGACAAGTGGGAAAAATAATCCTGAATGGACCAAAAATAGGTATCGTTCATCTCTACAGGAAAAGGAATGGTAAGTCCAATTATGTTCAGAAGTTTCCATGGTGATCTCAGACTCAAGACTGAAGAGAACTGACTCATGGAGGCCTGTGTGTGCCAGTACCCGTTGGACTATCAGATGGATTGCCTACCTGATAGGAACTTGGCTACTAGACACTTCCTGGGCCAGGGCAGCTCGTGGGCTCCTGACTCTCCTGGAGTCAGGG